GATCAAGGCACGTGATGTTGAGGATGAGGTTCGGATAGGGTCGTGGAGTTTGAGCGCCGCTTAGGGCCTACGGCCTAAGGCCGAAGGGTTCATGCGTCCTTCATGATCGACTGATTGAGTCCTCGACCTTGGTCATCGTTTCGTTTGTCACTGAAAAGGCTGTGTCTTCTCCTCACATCCAAAGGAAAAAACACTTTCTCACAGGATTTGGTTTTTAGGAGGCTCTGATTTGACTCAAGCGACTTAACTCAGGCTTTCCCAGCCTTTCTTCCTGTGCATGGCAGGTTCATGGCAGCTTTCAGCGACGCACAGACCCGAGCCGCTGAACCGGGGTACTTCGTCGCCAAGTTCATGCTGGATGCCAAGCTGTGGGTCAAGATCTCGAGGCCCAGGTGCGCCCTCCCTCGCATGGTCTGGGGTGCCTCTTGTGATTTTTGGTTGGGGCTGTTTGTCCAGGAAATGCTAGCTAGTTACCGGATACTAGATAAACAGGCTTTCAAACTTTTGCCTGCTCAGGGTGTTCAGGGTCCAGCAGTCCGGCAATGGGAGTGAATGTAAAGCCGATGGCCGTCACTGTCGGCTTAGGTGGACACCTAGGACCTAGGACTCAAGTGAAAAAGAACCTTTGCTTTTGGGCGATGGGTCTTATTGATGTGTCCAAAGCGACTCGTTTGCAGATCTGGTTTGCCGCTAGCCGCTAGCGGCCATTCAAAAGTCACTAGTCACTAGTCGTCACTACTATAGTAACCAGCCGAACCGTGCATGTGCCACTGGAGTGACTTGCACCCCTGCCGCGTCTCCGTCCAGTGAGCTTGGTAATAGCAACAACAGCATCCATAATTAGGATCTAGAGTGTAGCTGCCTAGCTCTCTATTCGAAATCTTACTGATCACACACAGGCAGTGGCAATGGTTAGTTTAGTTACGGTTAGTCGGTTAGTTATAGTTAGTAAGCGAGGGGTAACTAGCGGATGGCAGCAATGGTCAGGGCAGCAAGGATCATCGGATGGCATAGCAAGCAAGACTTCAGCAAAGCACCCTTGGTGTCGTCATGAGTCAACTCAAGTAGTGAAGTAGTGTCGTCCTCTTGTCATACAATATTTTATTGACGTCGTGCCAAGTCAAAGACTCAAAGACATGGCTGATGAGAATGAGAATGATCTTCAGGATGCTTGGGGCAGCGCTTTGGAGGGCGAGTTGGCTCAATTTGCTGTGCCAGCAGCCGCACAAGGCGAGCCGTCACGACAAGCAGGCCGTGGCAGGCCTCGTGGTACAACTGGCAGCAGGTTTCTCAGGGCCCGAATGCGAGAGCAGGCCGATGAGCAGGCCGAGCAGGCAGAGGAATCAGAGCCAGTGCCCAGCATGCATGATTTGAGGTCTCAGTCACTGCAGAAACAGAGACAGGAAGATGTTGGCTTGAAGGAAGTGTTTGGGCCCATGAGATTTCTCAAGAATGTCGGCAGCACGTTTCAGCGTGTAGTTTCCGAGGCCTTCGTGTGCTGTGTGGATTCCCTGCTTCGGGCGCCTAGAACTCGTGCCATTCTCAAAGCAGATGCAGGTGCCGATGCCAAGTCGAAATCCGTGCCGAAGGAAGAGCCACAGACTTTGGCCCCGAGATCTGTCCACAGCATCATTTACGGCAAGGCCTTGACAATGTCTGCGAGTGCTCTTACGGGTTTGGACAAGGGTTCTGCGCAAGAGATTAGCAAATCGACTGTGCAGTCCAGGATGGTTCATGCTGGTGCTTTGGCTTTAGAGATGTCTGCAGTGATGTGCAGCTCCGCCCTGTCTTCTGTGATAGAAGCGTGCAGCAAAGTGCCGAATATGAAGCCTTTGTTATTCCTGTGGCGAGTTCGTTATGACGAGACCCCTAGCCGTGTCCGAGTGGCGAACTTGGCAGAGCCAGCCGGCTCAGCGAGGGTACCTTAACTGCACTGGCCTCACTGGCCGCACTGGGTGGCATCACTTTTTGTTTTGACTTTCTGGCATTGTGATTGATAATTAATAATTGATAACCCAGTCAAGCAGGCACATTGTCAAAAGTGAAGTAGCTGCAGTTCGAGTTGGTCTAGACTCTAAACCCTTGAAACTCAAGGGACCCAATGGACTTTGTCTCACCGGGTTGCTTGTTTCACTGTTTTCGTTAGCAGAATTCGGTGTGCTTGGGAGCTTTGCGAGGATATTGGGTAAGGGTAGCGCAGGTCGGTCTGCACTCCGGTTCTGCAGATGCTGCAGAGGCAGCGGCAGAGGCTCAGCACGGACAGTGCATCGTGCTCCCAGTGACATGCAAAACACCGCTGGCCATTGAGAGTTTTCTCTCCTCGCTTGGCATTGCAGCTCCGGCGGAGTCTGTTACACATGCAAAGGTGTTGCAAACAGAGGTGGAGGTGATGCTGGTCTATGGCCTTGAATCGTCTGGCAACAACCAGAGTGAAACTGAGCATTCGGGTTCTGCTGGCAGAGCCAGGGCCACTTGCATCACTTGCAGGATCCCCACCTGCCTTCAGGCCGTCGATAAAACCACGGCTGTCAATCAACGTGCCTGCATTTTCGAGACGTTGAACCAGTTGCCCGAATGGACCAGGTTGGCCAGCAACTTCAAAGTGAAATGTCGGCAATCAACGTGTGACAGGTATTCCGCAAACCGGCTCACTGAGGATGGGCTCATGTGTGAAGGTTACCATATGCAAGACTGGATGTTGCTGTGCCTCCCCTGTGACACTCACAAATCAGCAACCTGTATAAAGGCGGTACTGTCACAGTCCGAAGCCGACATATCTGGGCTGATAAACACTGCTCTGACGTTGTGTGATCATCCAGGTGTCATGAAGACCCTAAGGGAC